GATCTCTAATGAATGATCATGAACATTTTTCTTTTCTTCAGTATCAGCATCAGGGCTAATTTCACAAGACATAAAATCCATAGTTGCATCAAGTGATAAATGATATTTAGATGAGAATTGTTGGACTAAGTTATTCATCTTATTGGTGAATATTGTAATTAGTTGATTAGTAATTTTTTCGATAGCTTTTGTTGATGCAATCGTGCATGCTTCAGTAATATTATTGAGTGTTTCAGAAGTAATAGGTGAAGTTGATGATGAAAGTATCGGATAGTTTTCAAGATCATGACTGTTAGGTACTGGTGTAGAATGATGTGTATTAGTGGAAGAATATGAATATCGATCAATTGCTGTTTGTATACGTTTTTGTTCATTTATGTACTTTGGACAAACATGAGAGGTTGCTTCGTGTGAGCCTTGACAATTGGAGCACTTAGGTGTGAGTTGTTTTTGATCACAAACATTATATCGATGAGGTCCAGCGCAATAAGAACATATTTGTTGTGTTTGTTTACAATATTTAGCGATATGTCCAAATCGATAACAAGAATGACATTGTTACTAGAAAAGATCTTAATCGATTGTCATGATAGACATCCTACATCTGTGCAATTAAAAGGTATTAATAATTTGTTAAACAAATTTGAATCTACACATACAGTCATCAGAAAAACAGATAAATCTAAAGTATTTCATCTTGGTAAATCTGATGACTATAAAATGAAAGCGCAAATTTATATGACTAAAACTAAAGCATATCAAGTTTTAGAGAATATAAACCCACTTGAATCTTTAGTTGATCGAACGAATGATCTACTTTATCGTTTATGGGCTAGCAAACATATTACTCAAAAGCAATATAAAATGTTAAGTGTAGATAAGGATGAGGCTGAATTAGCCCATCTCTATTTCTTACCTAAAGCACATAAACCAAATACACCATTACGACCAATAATGGCTGGTCTTAAATCTCCAACCATGAAGATTTCTAAATGGTTAGATGGTTTATTAAGACCCTTATTTGATCGTTTAGCAGTTGACTCAACTATTATGAATGGTGTTCAATTAATAAAACAAGTAGAAAGATGGTCGGCTAGATATCTTACATCAGCCACATCATTTATAATAATGGATGTTACCGATCTGTATACAATGATACCAGAAGAAGGAGGTGTAACAGCCATTAAACGTTTGATGGAAACATCTAATTTAAAACAAATCGATGGTGTTAAAAGAGAAATTATTCTAGCTCTAGCCAGATTTGTAATGACTAATAATTATTTCTATTTTGATGGGTCATATTATAAACAAATAAGAGGTGGAGCAATGGAATCACCACTTATCCTAACAATAGCAAATACATACATGTACTTTGTTGAACGTCCAATATTCAAATGGGCTCAAAGAACATGTTCAATATACTACAGGTATATTGACGATCTATTCATTATGTCAAATGTACATGCAGATACGTTAAAAGGTCTTTTAAAATTCTGGAATAGGCTCGATAGCAATATTGAACTTTCTGAATGTGTAGGATTAACTGCAGAGTACCTTGATGTGAACCTTGAGAATAGAGGAGGGATATTGATGACTGAAGTGTTCCATAAACCTTCACATGAACCATATTTTCTTCCTTTCACAAGCGTACATGCACAGCATATAAAGAAGAATATTCCTTGTGTAGCTTACACTAGAGCAATACGATATTCTTCAAGTTTCGAAGCGTTTAAACGTGAAGAAATACATATATGTATGTCGCTATTATTAAATGGATATCCTTTATCTTTTATTCTTAAACAATTTGAAAGAGTCTTACAGACATTTCAATGTGCAGTACCTACTAGAAAGAATTACTTAAATATCAGGAAAATCTTTTTAGAAACTGTAGATAATAATAATAATAATATTACGAAAAAGGCTGCAATTGATTTTGAAGTACATATATTATGTCATTTTTCTTTTACAAAAGGAATGCATAATTTTTCAACAAGATTTCAGGAACTTTGGAATACTTGTTTCTTAGATACAGCCATTGGTAATATGAAACCTGTTGTAGGTTCTAAAAGATTGCATAATCTTCAAGATTATCTAGTCAAAAAGAAACCAAACAAATCTTTAATTGGAATTGATAAATAACATATTATTCTTATTAAGTAATAGAGCTGTTTTAGTTCTAATGAATAAATAACATACTCTCTTCATGCTTTGTCGTTCTCAATTAAATTGGAATTAAGAGATGACATATTCTTTCATGAATTTGGTAATAGAGTTGTTCTAATCTTATATTAGAATTAATAAACAACATATTCCCTTCATGAGTCAACTAATAGAGGTATTTTATTTCTAATAACTTCTCATTTGGAATTCATAAATAACATATTATTTCTCATAAATAATTTATTACCGTTCTGAATCGAAAGAATAAAGAACAGAAGTAATAGAAGTAATAGAGTTTTTTAATTCTAAATACTAAAATAGTACAAGGTACACCGATTACGATCTAGGAAGACTTGCTACAATGATCTTCTAACCAACCGTTTTCTTGTATCACACTCTTTATTAAATAAATTTTTCTGTCGTTGTTAGTATTTTGTGCAATGTATTTTGTAATTTTCTGATGAAGTCAAGTGATAACTTGACAGAAACCGGTCAATAAAATTCTGCAAAATAATTTCATATTTTTGTTATTATATGTTTATCTTGAGAGAGTCTAATTGAGAAGTAAGGTTATATCTTAAGTAAATAGAATAATCAATTACTCTGTATTTTATTTATTTATATTCAGTGAGGTAGTCGAGTGTTTTCTTATCGGTAACACTTATTCATGACAATGAATCAGCCGTGCTATCACATACATGTCATGAAAACATAGGCGTAGGAAAATGTTTTACGTACACCTGTTTTTCATTACTCACACACTACGCAGCTGCGTAGTGTGAGTAATGAAAACATTTTCCTACGCTTATGTTTTCATGACATGTATGTGACAGCATGGCTGATTCATTGTCATGAATAAGTGTTACCGACAAGAAAACACTCGACTACCTCACTCAATATAAATACCTGAGGTAGCTGGTCATCGGTATACACAAAAGCAACTTCACTAAATTCCAGCGTTAGCTGTCATCGTAAGTATATCCAAATTATTTATACATCGATTTTTCTATGTCATACAATACTTCGCACATAAATATTTACTTCATCATTCGAAGTAAATGTTTGTAGTATATCGTAGAGTAAGCTCAAAAATCGAAGAAAATCTACTTTATGCTACGGAAGATCGTTTGTACATACATTTAAAATGTTTATACTAAGCAATAGTTGCAGTCTTCCCCTTTTCAATACATTTTATCTGACTTCGAAGCTATTTATCCATTTTAATATGGATGATCCGGTCTCCTTCCTTGATCACACATTGTTTGAATCGTCCTGTATGATCTTTCTGTAGAGAACAGGAGAAACTTTTCCTCTTTCTTTACGTGGGGTTAGCCTCCCAGAAACACTTGATCGTCATCGTTTTAATTTACAAAGATACACTAGAATGAGGTAAATGTTCGTCTTTAAAGGTTTCTGATGAAGTTCTATCAACTGTAATCATAAAGTGTGGCGTTCAAGTTTTTGAGAGGATGGGACGTTTGAGAGAGCGGCGAACAGTCTCCAAAGAATTAGACAGCTTATTACTCCGATTTTCTAAGAGTAAGGTGGTATCAAGTTGCAGTTTTATGTCGTCCGCAGAGCGTGCATCAAGAAGCTGTCGATTTTCCTTTCTTCTTTTTAACTGTTGGAAAAGCAAGGTAGAAAAAAGGATAGAAAGAAAGACAAGATCATCAGCTCTGAAACACGCATACTCGGTTACCTTTGTAACCTAGCTCTTCACTTAAAGTAATCATATCTGAACTTTCAGGTTCGAACTATCACACGCAAGTGATGTCTAAATCGGCAACATTTAAAGAATTGGCTGAAGAGTGGGGCAAATACACTTCAGACGTAAGTATTAATTTCGCTGGAGTTGTATTCAATCAATTAGTTCCTTTTCCCGTTTGTTAGAATGCAAACGGCGGCGGTTCAAGGAGTTGTTATGCCAGGAGATGATGATAAAGAAATGCGCAAAAACGCCAACAACTTAAAATATGATTTGCAACTGGAACCGGCAGAAGAGTTTGAAAAAAGTGAAGCAAAAATGCGCTATGAAGGTGAAGTGATAAATGAGACTGAGAAAGACATAGAAAAGACAGAAGAGCTGGAAGTAGGAACAACGTGGGAAGCTACTTAGCGTGTCACGATGGGCCTGGAAATGGCAATAAGTTCTTCATTTGGCGTGAAAGGTATTGCTGATATTGAAGTGACTATGAAAGTAAATTTGGAATCCGAAATAACTGAATCAAAGTCCGAGCAGCAAAAGTATAAAGAAACATATACACTTTATAT